GCCATAGAAAGGATCAGATTCAACCAAATTAATTAACTCAGGATCGACAGAGAATTCATAATCCTTATCAGTAACACAGATAGGTGAAGAAGCAAAATCAGGGTCATATTTCAGTCTAGCATTCAGAGACTTTTCTTTCAGCTTAGCTAACAGTTTCTTAAGATCATATCTATCTTTGCAAGCAAAAAGGTTTCTAGCAGTTTCTTCATCCATCACATAACCCTCAGGAACAACAGGCAATTCATATCTAGGGGGAGAATCTTCATCATCACTTTCATCAATATTATCAGTTTCAATAATCTCATTCTCTCTAACCCTAGCAAGTTGTTCATCAAGAAATTCACCTAATGGCACTGTATTATCAAGCAGAGAAGTAGTTTCATCATAAGCATCATGCATAGCAGAAGTGGCATCATCAATAACATGCGACATATCAGAATCAATAGCAGGTGCGGGTATAGGTGTCGCGAATTTACTCATAACAGAAGGTGAATCAAGTGTAGAGCTAGATGGCAGTTCCTTACCTCCCCTCGTAGTTGAGGGAAAAATCTTGGTTCTTTCATCTTTCAAGTTCCTCATAGTGATCAACAAATATAAATCCCAAGTGACTCACAGAATAGAGCTATGATCCCCGACAACGGCGCCAGAAAAAGGTCTTGGTAATCCACAAGTATAGGGGATCGCAGCAGTTTTCGAGGGTAGATTATTCAACCCAAATTTATTGATTCGACACAAGGGGGGCCAAAGAATATTCTCAAGTATTAGCAGTTGAGTTGTCAATTCAACCACACCTGAAAGACTTAATATCTGCAGCAAAGTATTTAGTAGCAAAGTAGTATGGAAGTAACAGCAACAGTGGCAAAAGTAACAATAGCAGTTTTGTAGTAATCGTAACAGTGGCAATGGAGAAGTAACTAAACAAAGATCAATATGTGAAAAGCTCATAGGCCATGGATCAATGATGGATAATTACATCGGATACAATTCATCATGCAACAGTTATAACATAGGATGACACGGAACTAGCTCCAGTTCATCAATGTAATGTAGGTATGTATTCTGAATATAGTCATATGTGCTTATGGAAAAGAACTTGCATGGCATATTTTGTCCTACCCTCTCGTGGCAGCGGGGTCCTATTGGAAACTATGGGATATTAAGGCCTCACTTTAATAGAGTATCGGACCAAAGCATTAGCACTTAGTGAATACATGAACTCCTTAAACTACGGTCATCATCGGGAGTGGTCCCAAGTATTGTCAGTTCGGGGTTGCCGGATCATAACACATAGTAGGTGACTATTGACTTGCAAGATAGGATCAAGAACTCACATATATTCATGAAAACATAATAGGTTCAGATCTGAAATCATGGCAATCGGGCCCTAGTGACAAGAATTAAGCATGGCAAAGTCATAGCAACACCAATCTTAGAACATAATGGATACTAGGGATCAAACCCTAACAAAACAAACTCGATTACATGGTAAATCCCATCCAACCCATCACCATCCAGCAAGCCTACAATGGGATTACTCACGCACGGCGGTGAGCATCATGAAATTGGTGATGGAGGATGGTTAATGATGATGATGGCGATGGATTCCCCTCTCCGGAGCCTCGAACGGACTCCAGATCAGCTCTCCCGAGGAATATTAGGGCTTGGCGGCGGCTCCATATCGTAAAATGCGATGAATTCTTCTCTCTGATTTTTTTCTCCCTGAAAGTGAATATATATAGTTGGAGTTGAGGTCGGTGGAGATCCAGGGAGCCCATGAGGCAGGGGGCATGCCCCAAGGGGGTGGGCGTGCCCTTCACCCTCGTGGATAGGGTGTGGGCCCCCTTATGTTGATTCTTTCACCAATATTTTTTATTAATTCCAAAACGTATCTCCGTGGAGTTTTTGGTCATTCCGAGAACTTTTATTTCTGCACAAAAATAACACCATAACAGTTCTGCTAAAAACAATGTCAATCCGGGTTAGTTCCATTCAAATCATGCAAGTTAGAGTCCAAAACAAGGGCAAAAGTGTTTGGAAAAGTAGATACGTCGGAGACGTATCAAGCAACGAACATCACATATCTCAATATCCCTATCTCTCTATCTTGTGCTAACAGCATTGAACAACACATATCTCTGTCTCTTTCTCGGCTGAATAGCAAAACGAGGAGAAGCTGCAACATGTGCAAGGGAGAGGAATGGAGGTTGTATCTTTAGAGGAGACAATGCCGTTGTTGTTAGAACCTAGCCCGCCGACGTTGTTAGCACCTATCCCGCCGCCCCATTGCACAATTGTCGTCACCCAGCCACTCGATCCGCCACATAAGAGAGGAAGATACGAACGCCGGCGGCGCATATCGAGAGGAGGTCGCCGGCAGCATAGATCAAGAGGAGTTCGACGGCGGCGCAGATCGGGTGAGGGAGAGACGAGTGGGAGGTGACGCTGAGAGAGGACTCGATTGGGTTTCAGGGAAGAAAATGAAAGAGCGACGACTCGTTCCACGTGGTACCTCCGATTCGGAGGTCTCGGCGTGTTTCGGATATTGACACAATATTCGCTCGGTGGGCACGACTCGGTTCCGTTCCATTTACGAACCAAACGCAGAAACGAGCCCCTAGTGCAGGTCCGTCCCGTGTCGTTCCAGCTGGTGACTGAAACTGAACACACCCTTACACCCAGCAGTCGCACACGTAAACCCAGCAGCCAAGCACGTACACCCAACAAATAGACTGGTGTACACCGGGCTATCGGAGAAGGACGTCGACGACAACCTTGATCCATAGGAAGCCGGTCCAAAGAAGAGGGGTAGAGGAGGAAGATCGAACATGAGTGAGGAAAAATTATTGTGCGATGTGTGGTTAGCCACTAGCATCGATCTGATCCATGGCACAAAGCAATGGGGCGCAACTGTTTGAGGCAACATTCATTCATGGTTCCATGAGCACAAGAAGTTTGAGCCCTACCACAATGAACTCATCCACGATAGTGGGATAAAGTCACTTAATCATCGATGATACACCATCCAAGAGGTCGTGAGCAAGTATTGTGGCCATTTAAAACAACTTATCAATTGATGGCCAAGTGGTGTTCAAATCACCGAGCAACTAAGTTGTTCTGTGTGTTCATCATTTGGTTGTACATGCAACTTGTTGGCCGGGTTTGCTCTATGGCATTTGGCCCAATAAGCAACTTGTTGGGCGGCTATGCTCTATGTGTTGGTCATTTTGCCAGATATGCACACTGTTGACAATGTCTTTTTCTATAGTCATTCTGTGCGTGCAACTTTTTCTTGAAGGATGTATTGTTGGTTAAAATTGAATGTACAACCCTAGTGACAAAATGGCATTATCAATTCCATCAAGAGCACTTGACATCAACAACGAGGAAGAGGTGGGTGATCCAACTGACCCAGCAAAAGAATCGCCCAAAAAGGTTAGAATGGGGTCCATGGAAAGAGGTGAGAGGAGGAGAAGATGAAGCGAGAAAGATGATGTGTATGTTTGAGAACATTTCAGCAAAGATGGAGGAGTCATATGTTAAGCATTATGACGTGAAGGAGGAAAAGAAGGTGGAGAGGTTTACCCTCCTGATGGCGGCGACCGAGAAGAAGATTATTGAACAGAAGAATATCAAACTCGAAAAGAAGACAATTGAGCTCGCAGCCTGTTCGGAGGATACCAAGATGTTGACCATGAGGATAGACGAGTTCGACGCCGATGCTGAGATGATCGTGCATGCTTGGTGCACGTCATCCTTGTTAGGATGGTGAAGTGCTTGATTGCTTGGTGGCCGAGATCTAGCAGCAGAGGAGGAGGCGGCTGGTGAGGATGAGCAAGCGGCCGAGTGAGCGAGGAGGTTCGGGAAGCCTTTTTTCATGGTCTGCCTGACTAGAAATTTTGTGATCGGAAGTATGTAAAAACTATGATAATCCATCTCTTTTTTTATTGTTATTGGGCTCTATGAACACCACACTTTAATTTTCTCATATTGCTATGTATTTGAAATCAAATTGTCTGGACTTGGGCGGACATTTATGGGATGTGGTTTGGTAGCCAACTCCCGTATTAGTTTTTGTGCATTGGTCCGCGGACAAATAGTGTGTCCATTTTAGCGGATGGCCTTGGAGATGCCCTTACTATTAGTGCTAGTGAAGTGTACCGTAAAGCACCTCTAAAAAACAAGTATCTGTGCTATTGCATCCATACTTGTTTTGAATTTTTGGTCCTCTTCCTTACTTCCACGAGTGAAATGTTGTGTTGATTTTCCCTCCAAACAGAATCTGTATTATTGATGCAGACTTCTTGTGGCGTATGGAGAAGATCTGGTTCTCGTGGGGGGAGATCAAGGAGCGGGTGCGTATGTCCAGGAGATTCGATTTTGCCATTAAGGAAGTCAGACATACAAACTAACCTCATAGTTGACTTAGTCAAAAATTCATTCCTCTTGAGGCTGTCGCAAATACAAAATATAAATGGTGCGTATTAGTCTTCAAAGCTTAGGCACATGTAATCTGCAGATTTAACCATTTTTTAAACTGGCTAGTGGTTAGCTTCTCATAATCAATAACCATCTTTGGTGGTTAATTACATAAGCGGTTGAGAAAGAGGGATCAATGCAAATTGAAGGCAATGCATGTCCAGAATCGACATATAATGATGCATATAGACACAACAAATATACAAGAGTTTAACACGTGTTCTTCATACAAATCACAAACTGAATCAGTGATTCACCCCGCAAAAAAAAAGAATCAGTGATTCTACCAAGGAAGAAAATAGCGTTGTCCCTAAAAATATGCTATTAACGTGCTATAGCGGGCTATAGCATTGCTATTAGCGAGACATTGTAGACCGAGCAATTTAGCGCGGAAATTCTCTATACACTATGGCATTGCTATTAGTGACGCTATAGCGCGCTATTTTTTCCAGTAGATTATACATGTAACAATAACAGCAGGATTGCCTCCTAAATTAATGAAGTGAGTCACAAGCAAAAGAGAACTACCGAGGGTACCTCGCAGACAAAATAAACTCTTCTTCTAGGCTATGACGCCTGCTCGCTTCCTGCAGGTTTGTTCCTCTGATGGTAGATGCATAACCCACTGCCACGTATTTCCTGTCATCTTTTTCTATTGGCAGATCACCCATGTCACGCTCCTTGGGTGCTTGGAGAGCTTCCAGTGCCATCTTTACTTGCCTCATGGTTGGCCGCTCCTCTGCTCTCAGTTTCATGCATGACACAGCAAGAGTAGCTACTTCTTCCACTTCGTTACCTGCCTCCACTAAAACTTGTGGATCTAGTATCTTGGCCAGATTGCCTTCGGCAAGTAGTTCAACAAACTGCATGACAAGGCCATCACCTTCAGATGATCTATAGGAAGATGGATTCTTCCTAGTAAGCAACTCAACAAGAAGGACTCCAAAGCTATAGACATCACTACTTTCCGTTAGGCGTCCCGTGTAATAGTACATAGGGTCTAAGTACCCTATAGTTCCTTGCACTGCAGTTATTGTTGTTAACCCTGTTTGATCCATGGGAATGTACCTCGAAGCTCCAAAATCAGACACTTTTGCTATCAAGGCATCATCAAGAAGTATGTTGGAAGGCTTGATATCTCTATGTATAATAGGCACAGTTACAGAAGAATGAAGGTAAGCAAGAGCTTTTCCTATTTCACTTGTGATCCTTAACCTATCTTCCCAAGATAGTGATCCTGGTGCTCCTGTGTGAAGATGGTCGCTGAGGGTTCCATTGGAGATAAACTCATAGGCAAGTAAAGGGACTTCTGTCTCGAGGCAACAACCATGGAGCTTTATAATATTCCTATGGTTGATTTGTGATAGTATGGCAACCTCATTTATAAACTCATCGATTTCTCTCTTGACCACGATATTTGACTTCTTGATGGCCACGACATGCAAGTGAGACAAAATCCCCTTGTAAACAGTGCCATGCCCTCCTTCACCGAGCCTACGAGCTTGATCAAAATTGTTGGTGGCCTTTTGTAGCTCCGCTAAAGGAATTATCATCCTCTCGGCGATGTCTGCCCTATGAGAAACTAACTGCTTCAATAGTTGTCCACGGTTTTGACTAAAGAACTTGTGTCTCAACGACTTCCCCTTGCGTTGCTCAAGTTCACGGATTATGAGGATTGTACCAAGTACCAAAAGTATAATGCATGGGCCACTAGCGATTGCAAGACCAATTATTAAACCCAAGCGACCTGAGAAACAATACACAACATTTGTTTAACTGCTATTGTTTGCTCAGTCACGTTTGGATGGTATGCCTGAAATAATTAGCATGAAATTCTCAGTTGTTGCATACCTGTGTTTATATAGACTTAAAGCAGCCGCCGGATATGGTGTAGTTGCCATGGAACCCTTCGGGGCAACGGCACCGGAAAGTCCCGGGTAGTTCCTCGCAGTCTTCGAAACATCCATGTTCTTCTTTATGATCACACTCTTTGATATCTATATTTATATGTATATGTATAGAAAAATTAATCTAATGTCTTATTAAAGAAAAACTAGCAAAATGTAGTTTTATGAACAACAACAACAACAATAACAACAACAACAACATCCTTCCTTAAAAAAAACAAATGTTTCGCATGCATTCATACCTTGGCATCCGCCGGTGAGGTAAGGGTTGCCCTGGTAGCCCTCCTTGCACTCACACGAATTGCCTCTTACTGGAAAATATGCCGCGGCTCTGGGCTCGCTGTTGGTGCTCTTGCAGATCCTCCAGGCTGCCTCACCAGGGTATTTCATATCATAGGATGTGCCCTGCGGCACCACCCAACGGAGAATCATGGGGACCGGCAGCCTGGTCTTGTGCCACTGGCCACGCATTGGGTCCATCAGATGTGTGGACAATTCCGAGTCAAACCAGCCCGTCTCAGCGATGAGCACGCTCACTGGCACTTGGTCGGCTTGCATGCCCTTCTCTGGAAGGCCCCTGTCCAGCCGTTTAAGCTCCACTCCGTAGAATGCGTCGCCCATAGCGGGGATGGACGACAGGCAGCAGCCGTTGTTGGAGCAGGGCTTGTTATAAGCATCATACCAGTCCATCCTTTCCGTGTCCGTGGAGCAGAAGGAGGCGCAGCCGCTGATGATACTGCCGCCGCTCCCATTGCTCAGCAGCTTCGCCTGGAGATTGCACCCCAAGAGGATGAACTCGTTTATGCCCCACCCCAAGAGGGTGTATGGCAGACCGGCACCGGGACTCCAGCTCCACTGGCCGCCGGAGCCGCTCATATTCATGGCATGCACTCCGTGGCTGATGACGCGCATCGTACTGTTCTCTACCCAGATGTTGACGACCTCCAATGCACCGCCGCCGCTGTCGTTGCCGAGGAGCAGCCGCGGGAGCTTGCTTCCACGGTCGCACGTGAGCTTGAACTCGGGCGAGTGGAAGCATCGACGCGGGCCCATGCCGAACGGGTACGGCACACTCACGTTGCCGCAGGTGGTGTTGCAGTTCGGCAGCCCAATCGGTGTCAGCAGATCTCCGGCGACCGGCGGCACCGAGATCAGCAGCACCAGCGCCGCTGCAAGGGATACCCGGCTGACTAGCATGACGGCAATATGGAGATGGGTCGACTGTATCTCTCTGTGTACCTCTAGCTAGCTGCCTAGAGCCTAGATCTAGCCAATTTTAGTGTCTCCAATATATAGTACTTCGGGGAGCCAACCTGGTCAAAAAATTCCATCCAGCGATGCTAGTGAACGAAACTAGTACCCGTAAACACGAAAGTACCTAATTTAGGTATGTTATTTTGTTCCACTCCCTCAAACATAAAATTGACTCGTCCATCCTAAAAGCATACACCGTTTCATTACTTTACAGGCTCAAGCAATTAGTGATTTCTTTAACCAATGCATAGCCAAAGATTCTGGGAAAAAGATTCTGTATGTGTCCATCATCAAGTAATACTCTTTGTTGTGTGCATCCATCGATGTGGAGGCTAATACTTCAAGCTAATAAAATGAGTTCTGCTGAGTCATTTCCGACGTTTGATGAGAAATTGAGAAAGAGGCAAGGCAAAAGTTTTGGGACTTTTTCTCGGCTAATGAAATACTTATATGGCTACATTTGACTTCAAATATATTTTTTAAACGAAAATCATATTCTTACATAAAGCTTCTACAAAATATTTACGTACTAGTGTGTTCCCATCCGTAACTACTCCCCTGATTTTTAGCTAACTGTCACCATAATGAACTAGTGCCTAAAACTTTTTGTAGAACTGGTGTGTAGAAATAGCATTGCTCTTTTATTTTATTTTTGAGGATCTTGACTTCAAATACATGGAGTGTTATGTGTTGGGGTCAAACACATGTAACATGGGGTTAATTTTTATAGTCATCGGGTAGCAAAAATAGACTAGACGGATCTGATAGTTTATACACGAGATCACCACAGAGACAGCCTGTACACCCATGTGAAATGTGGTTGTACCGGCCATGATGCGGTGATAAAAATGATATGCGATGATCTTTGAGAGCTCTATTGTTAATGTATCACATGGATTGAATCACATCGCAAGATGCTAGGCATCAGCACTAAGCTTCATCAAGTAATTTCGTCACACCTGTTTGAGCAATTGTCGGGATTGAAGATTAATTTTAACAAAAGTGAATTGTTCTGTTTTGGGATAGTCAAAGATGGATAGGATGCTTATAGACAATTGTTCGGATGTGAATTGGTAGCCTACCGTTTATTTATCTGGGCATACCAATTCACCATCACAAGCTTTCTAACAAGGAGTGGAAGTGCATTGAAGATCGATTTGAAAAAAAAAAACTAAGTTGTTGGAAGGGCAAGCTTATGTCTTACGGTGGTCGGTTGGTACTGTTAAACTCAGTGATCACAAGTATGTTGATGTTCCTTTTGTCTTTCTTTAAAGTACCCGTAGGGGTACGGAAAAGGTTAGACTTCTATCTGTCACGATTTTTTTGGCAATGCGATGAAATAAAGACAAAGTACATGCTCATTAAGTGGGATATCGTTTGTAGACAAAAAGACCAGGGTGGGCTCGAGATTGAGAATTTAGAGGTAAAGAATAGGTACCTGCTTAGTAAATGGTTGTACAGGCTTCTATTGAGACCTAAGTCACGCGGGTACAAATTTTGCATTATAAGTACCTACAATCTAAGACCTTGGCCCAGGTTACCATTAGGCTCAATGATTCACCTTTCTGGAAGGGGTTAATGAGAGAGAAAGCGGCCTCTTCCATACGACTAAATGCATCGTTGGAAACGGTCATTCGACTAGATTCTGGGAGGATACTTGGTTAGAGGAGACGTCTTTAGCCACACAATATCCGTCTTTGTAAAATATTATATAGCGTAAGAAAGCTTATGTTGCTACAGTGTTACAGTCTACTCCTCTAAACATTGAATTTCGGAGATCTTTAGTAGGAGACTGATGGGACGCATGGCTACATCAGGTGCTGTGGTTAATGGGCATCCACTGCTCTGATGAGCCAGATACCATTCACGAGGGACTATCTGTGAACTGAATTTCCTCACTGAAATCTATGTATGTATACTTAATTGACTCTGGTCCAATTCCGAAATCGATACATATTCGGAAGATTAAAGTGCCTTTAAGAATCAAAGTCTTCATGTGGTTTTTTCATAAGGAGGTGATTCTGACTAAGGATAACTTGGCAAAGCGAAAAAAGGAGGGTAGTCAACCATGCTGCTTTTGTGATCAAGATGAAACTATTAAACAACTCTTTCTCGATTGTCCGCTAACCAAACTATTATGGGTTCGATTCATATACCTTTCATATCACCCCTACAAATAGTATTCACACATTATTTGGGACGTGGCTAAATGGAGTGGAGCCAAACACTGCGAGACATGTTCGGATAGGAGTATGTGCATTACTTGGGCTATATGGAACTGCAGAAATGATATGGTTTTAATGGACAAACTCGTCTAAATTTTTTGCAGGTTATCTACAGGGCCATTACTTGGATCCGTATGTGGTTGTTACTCACTCTTGTGGAAGCCAAGGTGCTTTTGGTTACTGGGTCCACCCGATGGGAGATGGTAACTCGGGATATCCACAACCGGTTTGGATGGTGGTCCAATAATAGGCTAGGTGTTTAGTCATCTCGTCCTATTTTTGCCGGTTGTGACAATTTTACCTTATTTTACTACATCGCAGACCTTTTCGATATTTTTCTTAATAAAATGGCTGAATGCACCATCCTCATGCAAAAACCGGGGGTGATCCTCCTCTTCTAAAAAATCGTTAACTACTCCAATACTCCATGATGATTCAGTAATTGTGATAATTCTAACAACACTTTAATAGTGTGTAGTGAATTAAAGTGAAACCAACCAAAGAAAATCCCAAATGTTATATATATGACATTACAGACTGTCAGATAGAGCTCACATATCTTGGATCAACGCTGGTTGCCACATGAGATTTCCGAAGCGTTCGTCCGTGTGTTAGTGCGAACGGATTCCCTTAGGCTTCGCTTGGTTTGTTGTGTTCATGCCAAAAACAGGTGTAATTTACGGAGGCTACTATTTTTCATGACCAACTGCTTGGATCATCATATTTTCCAATTGTCCGACATTTTTCCTCCCGTATTCGCCATGTTTACACCCGTAAACGTCACGACGAGGGGAAGGACCAGATGCTCCCTACTGCTTAGACCCTGCTTCTGGCGCATACACCATGGAGGTTTTGTTTGCCCCTCTAGCTTCTCCACTATGTTCTACGATAGATGTGATGCAACAGCCCATGCATAATTGCCATGTGACCTTCTCAACATTCTCAATTTTTTCCATGGTTTAGGACAGGAAATGTGCTAATTTTGCCATGTAACAATTTACATTTCCCTCCGTGATTCCCATTTTATTGATATGATCATTTTTCTTTCATCTACATAGTACAATCAACCATTTTGAACATAGTACTTTTCTCTCAATAATATAGGGGGTAGTATTTTCCATGATTTTTCTATAGGTTGCCATGATTCAAGTAGTTTTTTCTCCCCAT